GTAATGGGTCTATATTTAGATGGATTTTTAGTCTCTGAATCTTTTGGTTTTAAATAAGTGATCCCATGTGTTAAAAATTCTGGAAAATGTTGTGGATTTATAATAAAATTATTAAAATGCCACAAGAGTAATGAATGTACACAAGTAAACTTTTTTAACCAAAAATTGTGAATTTTGTCAATTCCTGGAGATTTCCAATTATGTGATTTATTTATTATTTTTATTAAAATTTCATTTGTAATCTGAAAAGATGGCATGTCATTTTTTGTTGAAACTTCTGTTTTAATAACATTTAACCAAGATGATGACATGTTAAAATCTTTTTTCTCAGACCAAATGTTTTTCCAAAATTGGGTTAAATTATCTTGATTGGGTAGATAGACCATTGTTTAGTGATTCTTCATTATTTAAATTACGATAAAAAAATTTTTCATTGTTTAAGAATTGTGAATTTTGTATTTTCCTAAGGTGAGATTGTTTATATGTTTTCAATCTTTTAGAATAAAGATATAATTTTTGCATTAACGTATCTTTGATTTGTAAAAGTGTTGAATTATACTCTGAATAAGTGTTGCAGTGTATCTTGTTTTTCCTAATAATAATAATAATTATTATTATTATTATTATTGTTATTATTATTATTAATTGAGTGAGAAAAGTAAGTTTTAAAAAGTGAATAGTTGTATTTTTCGAATGTTTTATTTAACCTTGCATGTGTAAAGTGGTATATTACCTGATTTGACCGAGCAGTGTATATGGGCCCTACTTTCGTAGTAGACCCAATCAAAGCCCGCTTCCACGGCCAGTCTGGCCAACATTCCGTATTTCGAGCGATCTCGATCACTGGTCGTGATATCAACAGCACGTCCTTCGTAGTGAAGGGATTCTGGGGTATGGTAGCCTTCCTCGTCCCAACCTTCAGTCACCAGAAGACGAACACCGGGCCATTGGTTCATCACTGATATCGCCAAAGTGTTCAATTTCTCCTTGCATCTCTACAAACAGAACAAGGAAAAAAATACAACTTTATTATCATCATCAGAATAATGAATAATTAATACGAATTTAGCATATCTATTAATAGATGTAAACATCTTTATCTTTTATTATTTGTGATATAAATCTCCGTGTCATAAAATTGCTTGTCTTGTCTTACAAATCGGTTAAATGTATGCACCAGACAAAGACTTGTGAATGAACCGCTCCGGTTGTAAATTATTCGACATATTGAAACCTACCACAGGACCATTGTGGGGCTGCTTTATGGCAGGTAAACATTGAGACAGTTCTGATGGTGAAACTTTTTCCAAATGGGTGATAAATGGACCCACACAAAAATTACACTAAATTGCTTTTTGGCCGGAATAATGGACTAAAGAGCGGAAAGGTCAAGGTAGGCCACAATCAATACTTTGAAAATTAATTAAATATATGTCATGATTACTTTGAAATCAATTTTAAAAATCACCTTCTTATAAACAAAAATAGTAAAATTACTAAGAAAAAAGTTTTTTGGTGAATAATTCAGTTTTGCAAATATATTTTTGCCACTAGCAAATCTCCAATCAACTTAGTTTGAAAGTCGTAGGCCACTTTGATCGGAATTTAATTGAACACAAAGAAATTATTTAAAATTTTTTGAACTGTTATTTTTCAATAAGATTTCCTATGATTTTCTGCATGTTTAGAATATTGTAACAAATTTAAACACAATTTATGATATTTTTGAACTCATCGAGCAATTAAAACTTCTTTGTTTCTTGTTATTTTATTAACAATATACAGGTAAGGGTTGTAAGTTCATTTGATATTTTCTAAAAGCTTTGGCAAGTTTTTTAACGAAAAATGTTATATTGAGATTTTGTTAAAGCAAAGTTCTTCTTTCTTCTTTTTATTGTTTTCTGAGTTCTTTCAAATTTGAATGAAATTTGCCCAAAAAACGTAGATAAGTTCAAAAGTAGGTGCGTTATATTTGTTTCTTTTAAAAAATTCAAAGCGTTTTTTAGACAGAAACTCAAAAAATCCGAATAAGTTTGCCTAACCAAGCCAGAAAATTGGACAATTTAAATTTAGAAATTGTTTTCTTTACTTCAAACCGATTTTTTTAAGAAACTTATTGAATTTGAAAAATATCCTTAAAAAGAGATCAAAAATTGCAAAATTAGGCGAAAAAATTGTTATTTTCCCCAAGTTTTGGAGTGTTTATTAATGAAAAACGGTCAAAATTTTAAAGAGTTTGTCAAAACAAAATAAGGAATTTTAAAAACATGTTTAAGGTGGCTTAATTTTGCTTATTTCAACAAAATTTTAGCACTTTTTATTGAGAATTGTCTCTACTATTTTTTGTTCTTTTTTTCTTCTTTTCTATTACCTATTTAGCTAAATTTGAGAGAAATTTGTCCACAATTTCACAAGTAGGTTTGTAAATGCGTTATTTTTTAATTTTTTTTTTAAATTCAAAGCATTTTTTTCGTAGAAACTCACAAAATCCGAGAAATTAGCTAAAACAATAAGGCAGAAATTTGCGAAACTAAATTTAGAAATGGATTTTTTCTTTGTTTTTAAAAATCCAAACCAGTTTTTTTCAAGAAAAACATATCGTTAAAATAAAATCAAAAATTGTAAAATTAGTTAAAAAATTTGTTATTTTCAATAAGTTTTAGTGTTAATAAACGATAAACGCGCCAAAATTCTAGAAAGTTTGTCAAATCAAAGTAGAAAACTCTAAAAGTATATCTAAAATAGCTTAATTTTGATTATTTCGACAAATTTTTCGTACTTTTCATCGAAAATTTTCTATTTACCATTTTTTTTTGTTTATTTTTTTTCTCTCCCTCATTTAGCTTTTTAAGTAAATTTGAGAAAAATTTGCTAAAACAACGCAGACAATTGCAGAATTAGATCAGAAAATGCGTTTTCTGCTTCTTTTGACAAACAATGTTGCTATTTTAGACTCGGCTTCACCTCGTCAATAGCAACGATTTGTGCGCAAAACTTCAAAAAATAACTATTTTATTACAAATGTCTAAAATACAGTTTTTGTGGACAAATCATCGCTGTTTCCGGACGAGGCAAAGCCGAGTTAATTGTATAATTAATTTCTCGAAAACAGTGGTTAAAAATAAAAAATAGTACTTAAAATATCTATTTTACGTACGGTTTGATTAAAAAAACTCATTTTATTGTAATTTGTTGAGCTTATACAAAAAAAATTGCGAAACTAAATTTAGAAATGGTTTTTTCCTTATTTTTAAGAATCCAAACCGTTTTTTTTTTAAATAAACTTACTGAAATTGAAATATAAAATCGAAAATTGTAAAATTAGGTGAAAAATTGTTATTTTCAGTAAGTTTTAGTGTTTATATACAATAAACGCCCCAAAATTCTAGAAAGTTTGTCAGAGCAAAGTAGAAAATTCTAAAAGTATGTCTAAAATAGCTTAATTTTGATTATTTCGACAAATTTTTAGCACTTTTCATCGAAAATTTTCTTGTTACAACCATAAAAAAATTGAACTTCAGAATACAAAAAAAACATTTTTGTCATTGATCATTGACAAAATAAAATTAGGTAAAAAATTGTTTTATGAGGTAATTTTTGACAAAATAAAATTAGTTTAAAGCTAGAAATATTTAAGAAATTAGACAAAAAACATCGTCCTCTTTTTTCTTTTTTTTTAATTACCTATTTAGCAAAATTTGGGAGAAATTTGCCCAAACAACCCAGACAACTTCGAAAGAAGAAAATGCGTTATTTTTGTTTCTTTTTAAAAATTCGAAGCGTTTTTTACATAAAAACTCAGAAAATCCGAGAAATTAGCTAAAAGAAGGCAGAAAAGTGAAAACTAAATTTGGAAATGGGTTTTTTCCTTGTTTTTAAGAATGCAAAGCATTTTTTTTAAGAAATTTAATGAAATTGAAAAATATCGTTAAAATAAAATCGAAAATTACAAAATTAGCTGAAAATTTTGCTACTTTTAATAAATTTTGGAGTGTTTATAAACGATAAACGCTCCAAAATTCTAGAACCTTTGCCAAAGCAAAGTAGAAAATTAGCTTAATTTTAATTATTTCGACAAATTTTTAGCACTTTTATMATTTTTTCTTTCATTCTCTCTCTCTCTTCTTTTAGCTATTTAAGTAAATTAGAGAAAAATTTGCCAAACAATGCAAAATTAGACCGAGAAATTCGTTATTTATGGCAAATAAAGTCAAAAATTGAAAATCAAAGTGAGTTTCCACATTAATTAAATTATTTCCAGTAAGAACATARTTTTTTTCCAAATTTTTCAACAAATAATTTCTTCTTGTTTGTCTTCTTTTATTGTCTTGTGAAAAATCGCATCAGAATTCGTCATATTTGCCGTTTCATTGGCACTTGAGTGATTTCCAACAACAGGAAATTGTAAAAGTCGTGAAGGAATAAAGGCAAACATTGATAATAATCATCGATAGCTTTATGACGGGTGTAAAAGCCCAATTCCCATGACAAGGTGCATTGAGACTTCCGGTTTGATTGATAAGAATCGCGCATTGCAGCAGCAGCAGAAAGTCTTGTTGTTTTTTGTCAAAGTCCCAATACAATGGCTCGCACATTTTGATTAAATATTTATGATACCGGTTTATATAGAGACGAAAGGGGCATAAAATGAATTATGATTCGTTGGTTTTGTGTTGATGTCTTGACAAAACGATTGAAAAATGGCCGATTTTATGGACATAGCCGTCAATTCATCTCTTTAAATATTTATTAGTTTCGAGGTTTTATGCTTCAAGTTGCAAATATGATTTTCAACTCGACTAAATCAACCAATTGTGTTGAGCAATTGACTGAAAAATTCAATATTTTGGGGGTTTTGTGGTTGGGCTCGGCGGCGCCTTTTGGGATTTCTCCTCGTATTTTAATTTTTAAACGATATTTTTTTAATTAGTAGTTTCTCGTCTAGATTCATAAAAAATAACGCATTTTGTGATCAAAATTTTTAGTTTAATTTTTTTGTTTTGACAAAATTTTTCGAATTTTTGGATAATTTGTTAAAAAATGTGTTTCTCAAAAAAAAATCTTTGAATTTTTAAAAACAAACAAAATACCATTCATTTCCAAATTTAATTTTTGTCGTTTTTTTCTTTGTTTTGGCAAAATTACTTAGATTTTGTGAATTTTTCTACACTCTTAAAATTCGTTTTTTTTTTAAATGTATTTTGCAATATTTTCCACCTACATTTCTGTTGAAAAATTAAGTTTTCTTTCCACTGAGTCAGAATAATGAAGTTTTAATTAGAGATTTGCTCCTTAAAAAAACTTAAATTTTAGTTTTAAAACAAAGCAAATATCTACATATTGAATACCAATTTTGATACTTACATTAATATATAGTGTGTCCCCGGATTGAGTTTACAAGAGAAAAAAAAATTATCTTTGATTTGACGCCAAAACTGTAAAGGGAAAACATCTGAAACGAGCAAATCTGTAATTAAAACTTCAATATTCTGATTCAGTGAAAAGAAAAGTTCTTTTTTTTCAAGGTTTTGGACAGAGAATAATTCTTCTCTGCTTTATAACTCCTATCACATTAGCGGTTTAATTTTTTTGACAACGAAATCACTTTGACAATTACTTAATTAACTGAATAATCATGATTTTTGTTCAAATTACTTTATATTTCTTATCTTAAAGCCGTATATTTTTCACCTACATTTTTGTTGAGATTTAAAACTAACTTTTTTTTCCATTGAGTCAGAATAATGAAGTTTTAATTAGAGATTTGCTCGTTTCAGGGGAAGCAAAAATACTGTACTATGAAAATTGTCAGCTTTTACTATACATTAAAAGCCATATTTAGTTTTTTAATTATTGGGACCATTTTTTCTGTATTTATCTGTAATATTTATTATTTATTGTATTATTTTATGATTTTATTGTATTTATTGTAATATTTATTAGTTTCGAGGTTTTATGCTTCAAGTTGCAAATATGATTTTCAACTCGACTAAAT